ACCCCTCTACTCCCCTTAGCTAAAAAGAAACAAAATCCTAGCATAAAGTCCCCAACCCAAGATCACCTATTATTACTATTACCCTTTAGTCATAAACTCTTTAAAAAAAAAACTTTAGTTTATTTATATAGCCGTTGTCTCCTCCTCCTCCATAAAATTTCATAGATCACTAGATTTCTAACCATGCAAAGTAGTCATAATAATTCTATCACATATTTATCTTCTAGTGATCAATTAGTTGAAGATGATCAACTTTCCACTGTTCTCTCTCTTGGTCCTCCTGGCCAAAAAAATAGTACAATTTTTCATGACTATTTTTCTTCTTCTAGTTGTCATGAATTTCAAAGTTATAATAATCAAGAAAGTGTCACTGTGGCTCTTCATATTGATTCATCAAGTACAATAAGTTCAAACAACAACAATAATCCTAGTAGAAACAAAGGGGATCACAATAGTAATAATAATAATATTTCACTAGTAAATGGACAATATTGGATTCCAACTCCTGCCCAAATTCTTGTTGGACCTACTCAATTCTCTTGTGCTGTTTGCAACAAAACTTTCAACAGATTCAACAACATGCAGGTTTAGTTTTTTCTCTCTCTCTCTATATATATACACACACTTTTATTCATGTTGAAGATCTTGTAGGTGCAATTTTAGTTACATGTGACTATATATTAGGGTTGTCACTTGTATATAATGTGTTTGTGTTAACATGAGCGGAGCTAAAGTATAGTTTACGAGTTCAGCAGAATCTAGTAGTATCTTTTCAAATTTTGTACTTGTCTCAAATTCTGGCTCTACCTCTGTGTGCTAATTGCTCATATATAACCATGCACACTCTTCTCTTACATGCGGAGGCAGATTCAGAATTTTCAAGATTTCTATATTTTTTGAAAAATGTATTCATAACTTAATATTTATACTATTTTCTTGAATTTAATTTCCACATATGTAGGTTCATGACATTGAACTTCTTCAATTTTGTCTTTTTATTGTCTCATATCTATGTACTTTTAGTCAAGTTTCAAGTGACCTAAATTTCCAACTTACCAAAAATAGGCAAGTTTAATTTTGCTTGGTCCAACTTGTTATATGTTACATTTTTTTTCCTTAAATTAATTAACTAGTGACCCCTTTTTTTTGTATTATTAGATGCATATGTGGGGGCATGGATCACAATATAGAAAGGGACCAGATTCACTAAAAGGGACAAAACAAGCTTCATCAATGTTAAGGCTGCCTTGTTATTGTTGTGCTGAAGGTTGTAAGAACAGCATAGACCATCCAAGATCAAAGCCATTGAAAGATTTTAGGACTCTTCAAACACATTATAAAAGAAAACATGGGGCTAAACCATTTAATTGTAGAAAATGTGGGAAGAATTTTGCTGTAAGAGGAGATTGGAGGACTCATGAGAAAAATTGTGGAAAAATTTGGTTTTGTATTTGTGGTTCTGATTTTAAGCATAAGAGGTCACTTAAAGATCATGTTAAAGCTTTTGGAGATGGACATGCACCACATAGTGAGAATTCTTATTATCATGTTGAAGGAGACGAGGACGAGGAAGAAGAAGATGATAATGATGAAATCATGGAAATGGAACTTTAGATTTATAAAAAGGTATGCAGTTCAGTGCAAGAAGTATCTCGCGTTTATGCAAAGTTATAGATAGTGTCGCATCCCAAGGAGTGTAATGCAGACAAATAGCTAGAATGGGAGTGACTAATTAAAGAAAAATTGAGATTTGACTAGGAACTTTTTTTTTTTTGGACTTCTTTTGCAAGTATGTATTTGTGTGCATATGTTCTCAAGAGGGGCAAAGGGATGATGAACAAATTAAGAAATGTAGCTAGACCATGTTGCATAATTTGATTGAAGATTTGTGTAACTCTATTAGCTTGTCATTTCATGTGTTTGGTATAGTTAATCTATATCAAGTATTCAATCAAGAGAATGGTCAAAGTTATACCATTCGAAGAAGGTCCAATTAAATTCCTTTCGTCAAAAAATTACATTCAGAAAATAGCAAAACATAAAAAATCATTGTTAGAGTTTTTGGTGATGGACATGCACCACATAATGGAAATTATTATTTATTATTATCATGTTATAGGAGAAACAGTTCACTGTATAAAGTATCTCACTTTCACGTAGAGTTTTTTTAAAAAATAAATCACATCCCAAAATTAAAGGTGTAACATAAACAGCTTTTTTTTTTTCTATCCTTTTGTGATGAGAGCAAAAAATTGGGATTTGACTAGAGACTTTTTGTCTTCTTTTGCATGTATGTTTATGTGTGCATATGTTCTCTAGGTGGGGTAAATTGATGATGAAGACAAAGAGTATTAGTAAAACCAGGTTGTCTCTGAGCATCATGAATGTTAAAATTTGATTGAACTAACATTTGTGTTTTGGCAAAATTCCAAGTAAGGATTTTAAGTATGTAACTCTATAATTAGCTTGTTATTTCATATTGTTGTTTATTATCTAGGTCAAGTTTCTTTTATAATTAATACAAATTGTTGAATTCTCTTGATATAACAAAAACTTTTATTAGTAGCAAAAAGTTAGGTAAAAACTTTTATTATAAAGTGTATGAAAAAGTTCCACTTTACAAAGTGTAAGAAAAATTTACACTTTATAAAGTGTAAGAAATAGTTCCATTTTACAATGTGTAAGAAATAGTTCCGCTATATATTAAAATACACACATTATGAGACTAACGGAAAACGTTTGAAATATTGAATACAGTGGAATTTTTTCTTTCAGTAAGCCTATTTTAGTTACTTACTAAAGTAACGGCTTATTTTGGTTACTTTTATTTTTTTGTGACTTATTTAGGTTCCGGACTCTCATTGAGAAGCAGTAGTAGTTGTAGTTATAGTAGTAGAATCTAAAAGTGAATTGAGCAAGATATAAAGCTGTAAACAAAGAGGAGTAGACATACAGACATAATAGTCAGAAATGTGTTCAGAAAAAATGCACTGTTGATTAGCTATGCATTGCATTTGCCACAGCCCTCACTCTCTCAGTCTATCATATAGTATTCCTTTCGTATCGATTGATGTGATCAAAAGAACTTTTATAGTAACTTGTAATGTATAACTATAACACATATTTCATCTGTATTAATTTATGTATCAGATTTTTAAGGGTCGAATAATTTTTTCTTTGATTGAATTTATTTTTTTATGTCTAGTAAAATTTTTAATCTCTTTCATTTTGTATTTTGGAGCCTGGACGATGGAAGAGTCAGAGGAAGCCGAGTCATTTGGCATAGTTTTACCCGAAAAAAAAGGTTATGTATACGTTTTATTGTAACATCTGTTGATACACCCGACTATCAACTTTTCTCAAAATTAGGTTATCGGAGCGAACAGTCTTTCTATTCGAGTCATCTCTAAGCTGTTGTCGCGCGAGAGACTTTCAATGGTTGGTTAAATATTGTAACTTATAATGATTTTTACATAGTTTCTAACTATCATGTTTATTTTATTTTATTTTAAAAAAAAAAACTTAAAGATTTGATGTCAGAGTTCACAATTAAAAGTAAGAAATCTAAAATATGACACAAAAATTGAGACAGAGAAAGTAATAAGTATTTGTACAATTATAAATTATCTTAATTGTAAAATGAATTTATTTTTTATTTCTAAATATAGAAAATCATTTTTTTTAGGACAAACTAAAAGGAAAGTGCATCACATCTTTGTTTCGATTTCCACCCAATGTCATCATATACTCTCATTGAACTAGACCTCGATTAATCTGAATTCGCACCGTAAAATCAGATTAACTCATTTTTTTCTTTCTTTGTTTGTGAGTGTGTCTGAAAGAGTATACTGATAGTGAGTCTTTTTCTAAGGTGTACTGAATAGAGAGTCAGTGAGGTTTCTACTAACACTTTGATAGAGAACTTTTGTCAGTATGGTAAAACAATGGACCACTGGAAGTTGCTGTTTTTGGGGTTTCACCCAAAGTATTACCTTCTTTCTCTTTCAGTATGGTAAAACAACAAACACATACATACACTATTTTTATTTTTAGTCTTCTACCTCTTGAGTTCTCTCACTATTCTCTATCAGTAACGGAATCAGAAATTCTAATATTGATATCAGTAGAGAATATACATCACAAGTTACATTCAACAAAACTCAATAGTTTTGACATTGTTGAATTCTGAAAATATTCGCGTAATATGTACTATATATTATCAATTACGTACGGATATGATCTAATCATTGTCCTGTTTTGAAATTCAGAATTCAAATTTAAAATCTTGAATAGTGAACATGTGAACTAAAATAATTTTTGAACCGCCTTTGGTACTACGTTGGAAGTTTCATTTATATATCGATCTTTTTTAGGAGTTCGGTTCCAAAACGGACACTTTTAGAGCACCACATACCAAAATGGACACTTCGCCCACAAACTGACCGCCCATATTGTTAACTCCGTCTATTCCACCCCAAATTACATAACAACTATTTAAGGTAGTTCGCCCACCTATAAGTGAACTACATTTCTTTTTATTACATTTTCTTAACTTTTCACGTGAAGGATATCTCTTATTCTAACAATAAATATGTGTTCTTATTCACTTTACCTTTTCTCATTCATCTTTTATCTTTTTCTACTAATATTATATGTTGGTCTTTAAAAATTAATAGTCATGTCTCAACAATCAAAAAGTTTACATATTCAATTAAACTGTATGTATGTAAATACAAAGAACATTGTAAAATGAATTTGAAGAGTATGTAAATTCATCTTCAAAGAGTAAGCTAGATTAATGAATGAGAAAATGTGAAGCTAAATTGATAGCATGGTCTTTTAATTTTCTTCGTATATCATTCAATATTTATATTAAAATTCGATCAAATTTGAATTCATGCATTACAAGACTCATTTCTGGGAAACAACACTCCCAACATACTCGAGTTCAGGACCTCTGATTAATTATAAAAAGATCTCAATTGATGGTCTTGCTTACTTTTGTTACAGTTATACCATCCCATCATGACATTTTAGCTTTTGATTTTTGGAACTCATTTTAGTGATTTTGATCACTCATTCTTTTCTTTTGACAGCCATCTTTATATATATATTCATTCATTTTTGCATGCATGCACCCACACAAAGCTTTAGTTGCTTGCCTTTTTCGTTCCCCATGTTTGATCATCAGTCCCATCATCATGACATTTTTTCCCCATCTGTTCCCTTCACATGCTTCTATATATAATAAAGTGAAAAGGCTATTGGAAACTGTTCCTTTGTACTTCTACTGAAAGGGTATAAATTATTGACGGATAAAATTTATAGCTAAACAGAAAAGTTGTTGCTAATTTCCTTGGTGTTGCACAATAACATACCCAGAGTAATTCCACAAGTGGTATCTGAAGAGGATAAGAGTGTAAGTAGACTAACCCTTACCTCGTAGAGGTAGAGGCTGTTTCCGAAAGACACTCGACTCAAGAACAGCAAATCGAAGTATACCATTGGTATTGTAAAAGACAATATCTCCTAAAGATTACATGTATTGAATCTTACCTAATATGGAGCAACAATGACAAGAATTATGATATGAAGTTATGAACATGACTAACTAGAATCATAATAATTAACTTTATAGTAAACTATAATTAATATGTTGTCAAAATTTCTGCACCAGTTTTTGTAATCAAAATAGTATGTTCAAACTGAGCAGCAGGGCTACCATCAGCAGTCAGAGTTGTCCAGTTATCTTCCCATGTTACACATTCTGTGCTTCCCAATGTGAGAATTGGTTCTGTAATAAATACAAACAAAGTGATGCAAATTTATAGTACTGACTTTGCTTAAACAGAAAATTGAAAAAGGACTACTGATAAAAAGGTATAGAAAGGAAGTATTGTAACCAATCAAGTTCAGCTGTCACAAATGATTTGTCTATTTTTAACATATGAACGATTCGAAGGAACCGAAAAAATAGATATGAAAAACCAGTAGGTGATTTAGTCATGTCGGTATAAGTCTTGGTGGACAAAGTTATCAGGAGGTGTGATGAGGGCTACCCTATAGAATAGTCAAGGTGTGCAGAAGCTAATGATAAGGGGATTCATTAGCATGTTATTAAGTACGAATCGGTGAAAATGATAGAATCCACTTGACAAAAAATTGAGGCAAATCTAGCTCACGGACTAGCTAGATTGCATCTTGTAAATTATAGTACTCACTTGCTGAAACTGAAAAGATAAAAAGACTACTGATAAAGGGTATAGGAAGTCTAGAAAGGAAGTATTGTAACCAATCATGTTCAGCTTTTATAACTGGTTTGTCTATTTTACCTGATTAAAACTTACAAGTAATCTTATGAACATTTTGCAGAAGCTGGATAAATATATATACAAAACGACATGTAATTTCTTCCTATCTGCTAAGACTTGGTGGTCAGAGTTATCAAGTATTTGTACTAATGGAGGAAAGCATGTACTTTATAGAATAGTTGAGGTGTGCAGAAACTAGCTTGGACACCCCATTATCCAAAGAGAATTGGAAAAATAGATTTTGGTGATCTCTTCCTATCTGTCTAAGCATTGGTGCGCAGAGTTATCAAGTACTTGTACTGATGGAGGCAGACAAGTACCTGATAGGTGTG